TATGTTAAGTATTGGCAAATTTACTTTTTGTTGTTTGATGGAGAGTTTTTGACCTACTAAAGTTAATACATAAAATTAATGAAAGACAATAATAGTATTAAATAATTACAATAATTTCTTTTAAAAATTATATGAAATTATCACGTGAACATATATTAAAGTTGATAGGTTAATGGTTGAAACACTATTCGTAATCCAATTCCTAACGTAGCAATAGGAAATATAATATTATGTATTAATTATTAATACAAAATAAAAGAATGCAGTTGGGGCTTGGTGTGGCACGGTGATTGGCTGAAGTCAATAATGGGTGGCAATCATTGGCCGGCGTAGCTAGCATCCAGATGGGTGACCACCTGGGTGTTTAGTGACGAATCCTAGCTCCACATATACACGTGTTACTCGAACTCTACCGTGATCCCTACAAAAGATGCTGTTAGCCATAGTGCACGGTTTATTTACAATCAAATTGGCACACAAAATAATATGTAATATACAACTAATATAAAATAAAAATAATGCAGTTGGGGCTTGGTGTGGCACGGTAATTGGCTGAAGTCCCTAATGGGTATCAATCATCGGCCGGCGTAGCTAGCATCCGGATGGGTGACCACCTGGGTGTTTAGTGACGAATCCTAGCTCCACATATGCATGTGTTACTCAAAAATCCAAATTGTTTATATTAATAGAACAATGAGATATAATAGAACCGCTAATAATTACGATAATTTCAGTGGTGTCGGTTATTGGCAGTGGAAGGGGGGGGGGGAAGTTTATCATCCAGATAATTCTCAAATAATTCCAAAATAAAATTATTTCAATACGTTATTCAGTTGCTTCAAATCTGGACATCTTCCTAGAATTTTTGTGAAACATATGAAACTTAAATAATTAATAAAAAAAATGTTGCTTTAAGAAAGACGTTTCACCTTAATGTGGTCTCCAATTGTTCAAATGCGTCTTACAAGTTTGAAACATATCAAATTTTAGTTAAGCAGTTATCATTCATCTTCGATGATTCCAAAAAATAATAATCACACTAATATTAAAACTTTCATTGCTAAATGAGATTCCAACCGATGCTTTAGTCGACTCGCCCACTTCACCGGCCTACATATTAATAATAAGGTTTGATTTCAAGATAAATGTTATAACGTGTTTGATGTTGTTTAATTAACTGGCTGACTCGGCTCGGACGGCAGCGCTCAGTAACTGCGGGACACGTATTGACTTGATATTAACACAGAACATATTAGCACTGCGGTGGTGGTGAAGTGTATGGAATATCGGGGCAGACTATTAGATGTCCGTTCGTGATCGATATATATATCGTCCGGCTCTTCCAGTCTGAGGGCAAAATGCTGCTAATAGATCTGGGGATTGATGTCCGTTCGTGACCGATATTAATATCGTCCGGCTCACCATACCATATACTCAGCGTGGATGTCGATTCTAATAACTTGCAATCGCGAATTGAAAAGTGAAAGTCAAAAGTAGTAGTTACAGCAGCAATCACTGCTATTTTCAGTGTGGTTTATATTTATCACAGTAGCATATTCACAGTGTGATAAATATATTTCACGGTTGAGCATAACTACTCGATTAAGAGTACCTTTTATTTTTCAATAAAAGATTATTATCGGAATATTTGATTTTAAATTAATATCGTAAAATATTTATTACAACAGTAGTTGGTTTATTGATGTATTTGGGTAATAATGCTGATACACGGAACACCACTGTTTTTCCGTTATCGCGCCGCCGCCGCCAACTTGATTAATCTGGCAGCGACAGTATCTAAGGGGCGGCGAGCGGCCTGAATTTCTGTGGTTCGATGTTTGCCGGTCCGACTGAAATATCGTGTTATGCTTTTCTTCGTTCTGCCGGCCCCTTGTGGGTGCTACGTATTTGAGAGTAATCAACTTATAGTTTATAAGTCGCTGATTTTGAATATAATATAACCCTCAACTTGTGTTGTATAGCTTTCGTGTGGAAAACTCAGTTTCCCTGCGGGTGGAGTGCGGTCGGATAATCAAACGTCAGTCGGCGCTATCTGGATTCTCGTACGGCAACCGCGTTGATAAATTGATCTCGCCAGGCGGTGGTCGATATTGGTCGTTATTGATGAATAAAACTAGAATGCGCCACGTAATTGGTCGCTGTGTTTTATCTCATTACATGGTCGACTCGGCCACTTCATCAGCCTAATTATTATAAATAAGGTTTGATTTAAAGATAAATGTTCTAACGTGTTTTTTGTTGTCCGGGTGGAGGGCTTCTGATAAAATGTTTGAGATGCCTGCTTCTTGTCTCTCCGTTTCATATGAAAGGCATTCAGTAAAAATGTGTTTAATTTAGAGGGGAGTACCGCAGCTGGCACATAGGGGTGGGTTTTCCTTCTTCATCAGATATTGGTGTGTTATAGATGTGTGTCCTATACGAATTCTATTGATCGCGGTTTCCATTTTTCTTGAGAAGTCTGGTGGAGAGGGCCATGTGTGGATGGTATTTTTAATTTGGTTTAATTTTGAGGTACCTTATTTCCATGACCGTTGCCATATATTGTTATATTATTCTGGTTATGAATTTGGCGTCGTGTAGGGTAAAATAATTAAGTCTAATGGCATTTGTGGAGTTTATTGCTTGGCGTGCTTTTTCGTCAGCCCTTTCGTTTCCCGGAACTTGATTGTGACTGGGTATCCATATTAAGGTAATTGAGTAGCCGCCAGCCGGTGTGTGTAAAGTTGTAGATCTAGTTCTGGATTTTTCTGGCGATCTCATTTGGATTGGAGATGTTTTTAATACTCGTCAAGGTACTAAGTGAGTCGCTAAGGATTACTGCTTTATGTATGCAATTTGTTTTAATGAGGTCTAGGGCAAATGTTATTGCCATTGGCCATTGCTTTGGCTGTGTATATTATAAAATAAAAAAAAAAGTTCAACTTGATAAGCGGACACAAAAAAAGAAAACCAAATAAGGATATTTTTATTCTAAGGGTCCCACTTAACCCTCTGTTAGTTGCGCGCCGAACGGGGGTGATTAAACTAGCACCCCCCACACTGCCCAACTCGCACGACTATGGTGTTAAAACAAAGGGTTAAATAAGTCATGAAAAGGTTAGTACGCCTAAGGACTATGGATAGTTGAAGCTGTGGTGATGATAGTGGGCTAACGGTAGTATACTATCATCCCGGGTCGAGAGCATTGCAATGATCTTTTCCTACTAACTACCAAGGTATTCAATATTGTGTAAGCATAAGAATAAAAGAAAATATTTAAATATTACCAAGAGAAATTAGAACATAATTAACAAATTAAGTATCATAATTTGTATCCACAGTTTTAAAGCTAGTCGCCTAGCGTTGTACTAGTACTTATAATTAATAATAACTTAAATACTATCAACACTAATTATTGATTTGTCTATCACCAAAAATTATAAAAACTGATTTAAAAATACTCATGTATTCAAAAATTTAACAAAATAATAATTAATAAATACTGAGAGTTGACGGTATGAGGAGTTATTGTAAGTTTTTCAGTATTGATTTATTCATTAGTTTTAATTTAAAATATGGTTCAGTGAATTAAAATTATATTGTCTTAGAATTCCCAATATATTTTCTTCTCACATCTTTCCACATTGAACTTAATCTATTTATTCCAACACATTTACTAAGAACAAAATAAAAATAAAAATATTATTATAGTTGAATTTTTTGTATAATTTCTCAAAATGTATTCTAGTAACAGTTTGAAACACAACTTAGAAATCGTTCACATTAATTTCTTGTATCAATAAAACTATCATTCAATAAACACATTATTTTATTGTACTGAGGTAAATTCGATAAAACTCTGATCATATTTTTTCACTTTTTTCCTTACATTTTTTTTTTTTTATGATTTTCCAAATGCATTTGCCCGCAGGCGCCCATGCCCCCTTCCCATTTTTATTTTTAGAATTGAATTCTATCTAATTTTTTTCCTGCAAACAAATTGTACATTTGACATTCTGTTATCATAATATAATATTCCTTGGTCCACAGAGATATTCTCTTTTAACCTCCAATAATGTCTAATGCACTCAGGCACTTGTTTTTTGTCTTTAGGCCACCCCTCTGTAAACATTTTAACCACACTTTTCAATATCTCGTTATGCTCGGTTTCTTTTGCTATTTCAGTCACATTAATATTAATTGTACTCAATTGCATGGATTACTCCCTCTATCTCTTGTTCATTTTCCTTTTCATCAAGGTAATTTCTAGAAAGCAAGTCTGCAATGAACATAAGCTTTCCCGGCAAATATTCTACATATAAATCATAAATAATGAGTTTCATTTTCATTTTCTGTAACCTTACTGAAATTACTTTATCAACATTTTTTCCAAATATTGACACCAATGGTGAATGATCTGTCATTACCTGTGTCGCGTGTCCATACACATAATTATAAAATTGTCTGCATGCATACACAATACTTAGCATTTCTTTTTCAATTTGTGGGTACTTTTGTTCCGCTTCATTCAGACTCCTCGAAGAGAATGCAACTGGTCTACCCTCTTGCAACAAACAACCCCCTAGACCTGATTGTGAGCTATCACACTGTATTGTTATTTTTTTGTTTGGGTCAAAATTAATTAACACTTGAGGACTTGCAACTATTTGTTTTAACTTGTTTAATACCTCAGTGTGAGCCTCACTCCATACCCAACACACATTTTTTTTAAGTAAGTCTCTCAATATAGTAATTAATGTAGACATGTTAGGTATAAATTGTCTCAAGTAATTAAATGCTCCTAGTAACCTCTGCAACTCTAATTTGCATTTAGGTGGCTTTAAACCTAATAACGCCTTAACTCTGTCCCCATCCGGTTTCATTCCCTCATTGCTAAATGTCAAAACCACATACTTGATCTCATGCTATTTATATTTTACTTTTGCACAATTAAATTTTATATTGAAGTTGTTTGGCCTCTCTAAGACCTGTATTACTACCTAATCATGAGTTTTTTCATCCTCAGTAGCTATAAGTAAATCATGAAAATATATAAACACATTTTTAATATCCCCAAAACACTTTATGCTTCTTTTTTGAAATTCTTCTGGTGCACACAAGAGTCCAAAAGGCAATCTAGTAAATCTGTAGAACCCAAAAGGAGTACTAAAAGTAAACAGGTTACTTGATTGCTCATCCAATTTTATTTGCCAAAAGCCATTTTTTAGATCAAATAAAGTAAACCATTTTTTATTGTTCAGATTTAGTCTCAGCTCCTCAAGAGTTGGGATTAAAAATTGATCCCTAATAATTACCTTATTTAGCTCAACAGGATCTAAACAAACACGCAGAGACTTATCCTGCTTTTCTACTATAAGGTTACTCGACCAGCTCATTGGTCTCTCAACCTTAACTATCACATCCAATTTACACATTTCAGATAATGTATTTTTTAGCTCTTCTTTAATGGAGTCTGGAACTCGCCTCGGAGGATTTAACCTTGGTTCACTATTTTCTTTAATTTTAATTTTGTATTCTCCTGGAAAACATCCTAGTCCGCCATTAAATACTTCTTTATAATCTTTTATAAGTGAATTGAAACAAACATTTGATTCAATGCTTTCCACTTTAGACCTATTTATCAGTCTTAATTTAATACAAGTTTTTAATCCTGAGATCACATAAACACATCTTGTTTTACTATCATCTACAATAATGAATCTGGTAAAAATGTTTTCTTTATTTGCTTCACATACTAATTCAACTGATCCTACATCTTTTATACTAAAACCACCATAAGCCTTGATTTTCAGATAAGTTTTATTTCATTCACTTTTGCAATTTAATTGTTTAAATGTACTTAACGGTATAATATCAATATCAGATCCTGTATCCAGTTAAGTTTATTTTGCAATTATCATTAACTTTAACAATTTCAGACCCCCCATTTTTTTTGATTGTGCATTAATATTCCCTATTTCAACAGACATTATGTCAAACAATTTATAGCCAGGTTCATTATCGCTTACAACTTTAATATTTTCATTCTTACCAATATTATTAACTTCCTTATGAAGTTGTGTGACACCACGGCAGCCCACTGCAAAATGATTCAATTTTCCACATTTGATACAGGACTTCCCAAAAGCAAAACACTTTGTATCCATGACGCCTTCCGCACTTCTTACAGTCATATTCAACATCAATAGAACTGCTACTAGTTCTATCTTTTTTTGAAAAATCATGCCACCTACTATTATTTTTCACTGATTTAGACAATGTTACCAGTGTTGGTCATATGAACATCCACTTCATCACTTCTGTCGAGTACTTCTTGCTGTTGTTTTGCCAATTCTGCTGACTTGCAATGCTCAACAGTTTGATTTAAGGTCAAGTCAGGTGCTCTTAGTAATCTTTCCTACAGTGCTCTGTTTTTAACTCCCAGAACAATGCGTACTTTTACCATGGTATTCTCCAGATCACCAAAATTGCAACGTTTTGCAATTGTTTTAATGTCCCTCAAGAACTTATCAAATGTTTCGAATTCTTCTTGATTCCTTTGAAAGAAATTAAACTGTTCAATTATTACATTATATTTGGGTTCAAAATACCCCTGGAGCGTTTTAAATATAGTCTCAACAGTTGCTGCTGAGCTCGTCGCGTTTAATGTTTCTAACTCATATGTGTCGTCACCTATGACACTCAACAGTACCGCAACCTTAAGGCAATCCGTTTTGGCATCCAGCTCATTAGCTCTCAGGTACAGATCAAACTTGCTTTTAAATAATTTAATATTATTGATTACTATACCTGAGTCATTGATGTCTAGCGGAGCTGGGGCTGGTACTATTGATCCATTCGACTGCGCCATGTTATGTTTATACTTTATTCATATTATGTTTATTCATGTTACATTAGTTACATTATTACAACGGCTTATATTATATTACTTCTTTTAAACATGTGGACATCAAGATAAAACGTCTAACCGATAACTAAATTACTGACTATGTCTACTAATAAGGTTATGACAGCAACAGTGTTGCCCCATATACAACAAAACTTAAAAAATATGTATATCATATACATATGGGGGCTATAATACGTTGAGAACATAAAACAAGTGAAATGTGATGTATCATAGAGTATTTGGCATTTGATTAATTTATTTGACAATATTAAAACTGAGGTAATAGGAGAAACAAATATTGGCTAAAGTGCAGTTTACCACCCCCTCACAATTTTCGATTTTTTTTTTTTTGAACTTACTTATATTAGCTATTTAAGAACGATGGTGCAATCAGAATTTGTCGGTCGGACTTAGTTTCGAAGTTATGGGCTCTGGAAGTTAGCAATTTTGATGAGCACAATGCCGCGTCTTTTAAGATTATTTTCTTTTTTTTCTTGAAACTTGCGTAGTTAAGAACGATGGTGCAGTCAGAATTTTAGTTATGGTTATATTATATAACTTAAAAATTATATATTTAATTAACTTATTTATACGCCTAGTGCCTAGGTTGTTGTTGTTAGTTACAGTTGTTCTGTGTTCATTAGTTTTGAAGATATTAACTTACGGAGTTCAAGATTTTCGGTGTTTTACTCATGCTCACGGCGCTCTATTTTACCGCTCTTATAACAAATTTTTGAATTATTTTTTGGGGAAACATGTGTATTTCATTCTACGACATAACTTACCCTGTGACCTACTTGAGGTGGTGTCGCATAGCAAGTCGAGGGATATTTTTGATTTGCGGAGCGGAGCGATGGCGCCGAGGAGCGTAGCAACGAGTGCCGCAAAACGTGTAATCTCGCACATACTAAACGACATAACTTACCCTGTGACCTACTTAAGATTGTGTTGCATAGCAAGTCGAAGGATATTTATATTATTTTAATTGTATATCAATATCAATTTCCATAATAATATCAAATTATTTAAAATCGTATTTAAAATTAACATATTATCTAAAATCATATTTATAATTAAATGCGTAAATACACAAAATTTCAAATTTCAAAATTGACTTCTTTGAAACGATGTCCGATCGATAATTTCTGACAGCACCATCGTTCTTAACTCATTAATATACTCAAGTTTCAAGAAAAAAGATTAAAAGAATCGTAAAAGACGTGATAAACGCAGCGTTGCGCTCATGTGTAAAAAACGCAAAATTGCTAACTTCCAAAGCCCATAACTTCGAAACTAAGTCCGACCGACAAATTCTGATTGCACCATCGTTCTTAAATAGCTAATATAAGTAAGTTCAAAAAAAAAAATCGAAAATTGTGAGGGGGGTGGTAAAGTGTATTTGTTTCATTATATTCTATAAATATTAAATATTCCTTTCCTAAATATTTGATACCATGTTAATGGATTCTCCTACAAAAACACATTTTCATACCGACTTAGGACTAATGCAGTTATACAACAATTTAGGTTATAATGTATATACAACAAATTTCTTTTAAGTAAACAAATGACTTAAAAGGTGTGCATTTATTAATCGTAATTTCTGATCTTAATCTGATCTTATGAAAAGTGGCTCGCAGAACAAAAGAACGTGTTGGTGCCACCAACTTGATGGTGCGGTGTGTCCGAACCCTCAATGGATGATATAGTGCTAATATAAATAAATTGTCACCGCAATTCAAAAGTGAAAAAAATATTAAAAATTTCAAATTTTTTTTTTGCATCAACGCATAGATCGTCTTTCACACACAAAGATAAACCCAATTTGGATGATCAAAATACAATTCTTCTACTTTAAATTATATTATTTTAGTATTATTGTTACAACGAACACTGTGGAATAATGTATTCCATTCTATAGTTTAAACCATAATGCTCTTATAATACATTAATATACATGCCCAAAAAGAATATCGCAGTGGATTCACAATAATATTTCGTTCGAATTCGAGATCCGGTCACTATCCTCCGCCAACTGGATGCATCAATAGTTTTTAATGAGCTGAAATATGCAGGCCCGACAAAAATCAAGTTGGAAAGTCGTGATTTTACCGCCGGTCTGCAGGCATTGTGGAGCACATGACTTCAGCAGTTCAGCTGGTGATACACCCGTCTATCTTAAATCATGATTATCACAGAACAAACGGAACGGAATCTTATTTCATTTAACATGGGCTCTTATGGGTGCGGCAATTTAAGTAGTTGAACTCACCCGGAAAATAGGTTTTGAGGTTAGGAGCGGAACTTAAATTGACGACAAGAATATATTTGTTCTTTTTATTTATTAACTCGACATAGACATAAAAAAAGGCTTTGCGCTTTGGCAAAAACTAACAAAGCGTATGTTACAAAAAAATAATACAAAATTTGGAGTTAGGATTCGTTACAAAAACTATTTGATATAATTGTTAAAAACGACGAGCGTCGAGACGGACCGTGCGTCGGATAGAGCGGGGGTCGTGTGTGTGTAACCGCGACGGCATCTGTAGGCGAACTGACTTCCCCGCGACAGTTGGTAGTTGGGGAACAGTATTGTGGGACAACCGTCGCCACATGGGAGATGATAAAACTACGTCCGACATTTCTAGATTTTAAACGTGCTGCCACGTACCAGGAATTTCCCTTTTTTTTCTTTATATCGTGCAACACTGTTCGTTCAAATTTTTAATATTTTATTATATTCAAACAATCTAACCGACAAACAATCAAACCGATTTTTTTTAAGAAATTGCATTTTTACCATTTATCTAAGTACAGAATGTAAGAAAAACAAAAACTATATGTAAACTCCACCAGATGGCGGGTAGGACTTGTTAACGCGGGACCCAACCCCGCCATCATGCAGTGAGGTATGGGCGTATGGCCGAGTGGCGGTCATGAGTAGTTAGTGAGTGCGTAGCTGTGTGCGAGGATAGTGAGCTAAATAGTGAGGACTTTTATCCTTACTCGCTTTACTCTGTCATTGTTTTTCAATGTTTATTTTATACGTAGGTGTTTTTTTAATAAACGAGACAGTTAATTAAACGAAGTACGCGTGATATTTTATTCGTTTGTTAACGAGAAGTTAACATACTTATTATTCAGAAGTGGGATTTGTTCCGTAAAGAACGTAGTGCGTTTTTGTCGTTCGTGGCCGTACGCCATTTTTATTAGTGTGAATCACTGTGACGCGCGTGATCACGAATCCGTTTCGGTGTGCGGTACCGACGAGTGAAGTGCATGAAAACGGAATTTAGAAAGCGTAGGGTGCTTTGTATCTCCGAAATTCAAATAGCAACCGTCTAGCCACGGGTTTTTGGCTACCGTTCAAAGTTACGCGCGAATTTGAGGTTAGCTTGTTCCTGTCGCACCTAGCGAACAAATATTGTGTTCCATGCTCGTGACCGAATACCGTGATAACGATACCTGGTTAGCGATTGATAACTTGATGTCTGAAAGTATTCTTATCAATCATCTCGTTGTTTTGTTGTGAACTGATAACTAACATGGCTGACAATAGACCTGATGAACCAGCGGCTATTAAAGCCCCGTCGTACCTGGAGTTGGTTAATCTCGTTGCGCAGCTCAAGCAACAGAGTGATCAGTCGTTATTGTTGCAAGCTGAAGTTGAATCGCTCCGAAAAATAATTAATGTCGGGAAGGACCCTGAGCCAGTAGTCGCGTCTGTTGCTGTGACGACTCCGTCGATGCGTCCGGAGTACAGAGTTGTCCCCGACTTGAGCCGGGCGAAGACCTCGTTCACTGGGGCCGAGTCCCCGCTGCAAGCGGAAGATTGGTTGGAGGAGATTAAAGGTATGACGACCTTAAATCGATGGCCATTCGAATACGTTTTGCAATACGTCCGTATGCATTTAACCGGTCCGGCCAAAGATTGGTTTACGGGCCGTGATTTTTCCGATTGGCGCGAATTGGAGCGGAAGTTCCGACTTGTGTTCGTGCGTGACGCGTGTGCCGCCGACCGTGAAGACGAGATGCGTGCGCGGAAGCAAGGGGTTAACGAGACACTAATTTCGTATATGCAGCCCAAGCTCCGTATGTGCCGAAGTATCGGTCATAGTTTTGGAGTATCCAAAGATTACGTCCTGCGTGGACTGAGATCCAGGGAAATGGCCCTGTACGCTGTCGGGCGAACACACGCCGACGAGGAAGAGCTGCTCGGTGATCTGTTAAATTGGGAACGCATGTCTTCCTTACATGCGTCGGAAATTACGCCGAAATATGTTA